GGCTGGTAACGTCCATGGTGGCTAGGAGTGTGTTGCTGGGAAGGTGGTCTATGTTTTTAAGTTTCCGTAGCAAGTCCGTGGTGTCTTGGACAAGAACTTTAGAGCACTTATCAGGATGAAATGGAAACATGTAATAATTCCAGGTATCTAAGGTTATGGACATATGTGAAGGGCTTCAAAAATGCCACTCTAAGTTGAAGTGCTTCAAATTTAGAGTGCTTCAGTACTGTATGTACAGGGGCCTCTCAACTGAAGTGCTTCATAGTGTACTGGAGATGATGTTGTTTTTGGTATTCTATGGCCAGTGGCCTAATTACGGCATCCCAGCATGCCTCTTGGCCTATCGCCATGATCCCCCAAGGCTTCTTAGGATAGCCAAGGGGTAGAAGCACAGCCTTTAGGGAAACTGACCTCCAGGGTCATGGCCTCAGACCACTGTAGAGTTCCTCAGTTTCACATTGGGAAGACACATCAGTGTCATGTGCATCGCTTTCACAGTGGGAGCATAATGGACCCATACCCAGGCATGTACAGTGGAGCCATATGAGATACTGGCTCTGCTTTCCTGCTTACAGGAGAGAGACTACCTGGTCCTGCTTTCCAACTGCTTCTATCTTGTCATGCTGTGACACAACAGATGGAAGAAAAAGGATGCTAAAACTCAAAAGGCATCTCCTTGCAGTGTACTATATGCTCACTATGTCCAGGAGCTACATTCCTGAGTGTGATGAAAGGTGTCTTAAGTGGGGCTTCCCCGAGTGGCGTACTATCCGTCTGGTGAGTGGCCCCTCCCCTCAACTCACCTGCCACGACTTGGTGTTATTGGATAAAGGGAGGGTTCAGTGGAGATCTTCTTCCTGGGGGACCCTGGGGACGGTAGTACTCACAGTTTGGGCGCAATGTTCCACGGGGATCCGCCTCCCCTACACTCCATCCACTCTCCAACCAGATGGGTGCCACCTGTGTGGTTTGATCGTGCTTGGTCGACCCCTGTTTGCCTAGGGGTAACCTGTGTCAGTGTGGGTCCTGTTGGGACCAGTCAGGCTGCCTCGATGGGTAGCGCTTCTGCTGCAGAGACTGGCAAGCTGGGCTCGAGTAGGCTGGCACCTTCTTCAGCACCTCTGGGCAGGCCACTTCTGGTTTGCTCTTTTTTTGTCAAAAAAAAAAAAAAAATAGACTGCTGGAGAGGAGACGGGTATGGGATTGCCTCCTTCCTCCCAGCCTGCTACAGGGGA